AGACGTACGCATGATGCTTCTTCTCTGCTATGCCCACCTCATACAGGATGTTATCCGACTAGTGGCGGCGCACAAAGGATCGGACACGTATGCCTCATGGGAAGCTCTTCTGGATGCGATCGATGCGCCTCTGAGTGATCCCGCTGCGATCCGCTTGCTCTCGGCAGCGTACTCGTATCCTATGACGCTTCGCCATTACCTTCCAGGTACTAGCTCGTCGACATGGATGGAGAACCTCACGATGCTACTACTTGAACTTGTAGCATTATGCGCCACCAGCGAGAAGCGTGCTGCACTGTACGTCCTTGGCGCGAGGGCCGAAGCGACAATGCCCAAGCACATGTGGGGCGTCCTGAACCCGCACCGCGTGCATCTCACGATGGTCGGCAACCACGTCCCCGTGTTTCGGAAGCTCCCGTCCGACGATAGCGACGACGCAGTTCACGTGAGTTTTCGCAGCTCGCTCTTCCACGAGATGGCGCCGTCGACGCCGTCGCCCGATGCATTCGTGCTCTTCAACCCAGGGCTGGGCCATCCCGCGCTCTCTGCACTCTGGGCGCCGTCGCTCTCGATGGCCCTTGCGACGCGCAAGCCGCTGCTCATCACGTGCTTCAGCGCAATCGACTTGCACCGGGACCTCACGGCGTTGGAGGCGAGCGCGTCGACCCTTTGTGGGCACCTTCACTTTACGCGCTCGGCGCAGCTCAACCCGTTCCAAAGCCGCAAGGCGACCGTGGACCCTGCGGCGCTCCTCGCCCCCGTGCACACCAACCAGTACGCGATGGTCGTCCGCCTCACCGACTAGCAAGAACTACACGCTGAACGCCATATCTTCTAATCCGAGTGCTTATGGCGCTTGGACTCCTTCTTTGCCTTCTTCTCACTCTTATGATGCTTGCGCTTCTTCCTACGCTTGCAACATGAGCCACGAAGACGAGCATGCGCGTACGACGACGACTCGCCAGTCTCTTCCTTGAGCTTCTTGAGCAGCTTCTTCTTCTCTTTGGACGAGAGCGACGCGAGGTACGCGCGCTCGGGGTCTACTCCAGCGTCGTTGATCGCATTCAATGTGCGTGTCCCTACCGGCCGCGTCGTCGTCGTCGTCGGACGCAAGGATCTCAAACTCGCCCGAGAGCTCTGTGCGCATCTCGAGCGGCAGCGACTTCATCACGAGGTCGTTCTTGCGCGACGCATTCATCTACGGCATGGCATGAGACTTGCGTTTTTATCAACCAAAAGGATACCTTTTGGATGAGCTGCATCGGGTCTTCCATGGCTTGACGTGCGGCGTCTACAGGGAGAGCGCAGGTGTAAGATACGATGTCATGGCAGAAACAAATGCAAGCAAAGGATGGCTACCGAGGGGATTGAACTCGCGAAGACTGCACTCGCGGTCGCCCGACTGATGGCCCCACTCGCCACAGCGGATGCATTTGACGTTCCGGAGCTTGACGCCGACGGGCTGGAAGTTGACGCGGATGTTGCTCGTGTACTCGCCTTCGACGGGTGCATCCTTGAGCATCGGAAAGCGCTCTACAAGCATATGATAAGGGCCAACGTGGACGATGGATAATGCTACCGTACCCACTTGATCCTTGATGGAGATGGCCTCGTTGGGCCGACGGCCGACATATCGCTCGAGGTTGCGCTGCGACTTGGATGCGTCTTTGGCTGCAGCCTTCTTTTCGATCTTACTGCGAAAGGCCAGGACGGCGTCGTCAGCCTCGCCCACGTCGACCCTCTCGTTGATCTTTTGGAGCCCCGGCGGCGGCTGGTACATGAACGAGACCTTCTGCGAGTCAATGCGCTTGTGCGCATCCGTGTCACCCTTGGACGCTGCAATCTACTTGGGCCGTGAGAGGCCATGCCAGGATCATCACGCAAGGTCGACCTGTTGGAAGCGCAGGAGCTCCGCATCCTTCTTGATCTCGTTGGCTGCGTCCTTCTCGGCGTCGACCTTGGCCTGCGCCTTCTGCTCGGCGATCCAGATGCGCTTCTGGTTGGTCTTGTTCGAAGGGTGCCACCCCTTGAGGTTGAGGAACTTCATGCCACCGCCCATCGCGTCCCTTCTGCTTCCGATGCTTCGATTCCGCCACTGCGCTCATTGGTCCACCGCACCATCATTTTGACCAATCAACGGCGAGATAAAGTATGCGGACATCCGGATGCGGCGTGTCACTGCAGGTGGTGATTGCACCCTGCAGGGTCGCCATTTCTGAATTCGACCTTGTTCCGACAGCAGCATGTCGGATGACCTCGAGCTGCGCCACGTCCTCGTCGCCTTCCGCCACGGTGACCGTTCGCCCATCCTGCCCAAGCTAGGCACGGCCATCAACATGGACGACGCGGAGCGTGACTTTTGGGGTGCCCGCCTCGCGACACCCGACCAGATCCAAGTCCTTGATGCGACGGCCGCGCGCGCAGGCCTCCAGAAGGGCGAGCCCGCACCGACGCTGGCGCCGCTCATTGGAGGTGCGTGGCCCAACGGGTACCTCACGGCGCGGGGCGTCAACCAAATGATGGCCAAGGGCCGCGGTCTCCGCGAGCGCTACCGCGATTTCCTCCACACGCCGACCGTCGACGACGTGTACGTGCGGTCGACGAACGTCGTGCGCACGATCCAGTCGGGCCAGAGCGTCCTCCACGGCATGTTTCCCGAGCTCTACGACTCTTCCAAGGCGCCTGCGTTTGAGATCCACTTGCACCCGACGTGCCCCTTGTCGCTCGGCCATCACATGGACTACCACCATCTCTCGACCACGCTCAAGGCGCGCCGGCACGAGTCGCCCATCCAAGACATTGATGCGCTTGAGAAGAAGGTGCATGCGCTCGTGGGCCTCGCCGACGGCGAAGACGTGCAGTGGTCCTTCTGTACGCATCATCATTCGATCGCTTTTACGCGTGGACGATCTTATGCTGGTGGATGTAGTGCGCGAGATCCTCGTGTGCCGAGAGGCCCATGGATTCCCGTTCCCGCCCGGCATGTCGCTTGACGTGGTGCAGCAGTCGATTCTGCACAACGCGTGGGAGTGGCACGCACACCTCTCGGACCATACGTTCCTTTCAAAAGCATTCGGCCGCGGTGTCCACGAAGCGTACGGCTACCTCGCCAACGCCATCGAGGTAAAGATGCGCGCTTCCCTGGACGCACCTCACGCGACTCTCGATGCTGCAGGGCACGAGTCGCCACAAGCTGACGCTGCTGTCTGCGCACGACGACACGCTCTGCGGCCTTCTGCACGCGTTCGAGCTGCACCGTCCGAACGTGCCGTTCCTTGTGCCCGAGTACGGCTCGATCTTGACGTTCGAGCTCTACTGCGCCAAGTCGACGGGCGACTGGTTCGTCAAGGCCAACTTTGACGGCGACGACGTCTTCTTTGCCGGCGTCCACAATGTGCTGTGCCCCGTTCGCCACCTGCAGGCTGTCGTCGCCACGTTCCCGTCGCAGTAAACTGTAACTTCATAGATCGCAAGGATTTGGGTGGGGACTGCCGCCGTTGTAGCACCACGTGGGCCACCGCTGATCCATGCGCCATCGTTTCCAATACGGAATCCTAGGCGATTGGCATTTGTGTTGTAAAATCCACTTCCTAGTTTTCAAAGAGGAGGCCGGCAGCAATGTCGACGTTCCAGCTGCACGACTGCAGCGCTTGAAGCGCCTAAACGGACGTCAGGTACATTTCGCTAGGACGGAACGGCGCCGTACCGGTCCTTCTGGAAAGCCAAAGGCAACCAGTTGGGCGACTTTGGCCGCCTGGTCTGGCGACAAACCAGGCGTCGTCGGTGCAGGAGTCGACGGCGCCGCGGGGGCCGGTGTTGGTGTCGATGGCAACGGCGTGGTCGGCGGCGCGTCGTGTCCGCTCACAGGAATCTCCTGCCGATCACGCATCAGAACACGTCGCACTTATCGAGACACAAGACGGTACGTGCTCGGGCAAGAACGACACTTCGTGCGAGCCCGTCGGGTCGCGCAAGACCAAGAGGTTACGGTGCAGATCGATGCAGCACTGGTGGCGCTTGAGCATGTCCAAGCCGAAGAGAAAGTCGACGCCCTACACGCCAGTTCCGCCTTACCGCATCGAGTTGGTATTCTATTCTACCTGCTGGTCGAGGATGGTAAAGCTACAGTTGTAAAAGATCGAACCAATCTTGAGCTCGGCCATGTGCACGCGGCCAATGATCTTGGCTGTCCCCACGCCGACCGCCTGCATGCGTGGCGTTGAGAATGCGAAAGCTACTGATTGACAGACGCACCTGCCCGGCGTAGCGCCGGTCGACGAGACGCATGATGCCGCAGCGCTCCGCACAGCTCTATCGACAGATGTTGTTGGCGACCTGCAAAGGTAGACTCATCGCGAGTACCGAAGACATGATGGTCGACTGCGCGCCCGAGTCGACGAACGCCTTGACGGGTGTGCCGTTGACAACGGTGGGGATGTACAGCATCGAGACACGGCCAAATGCCTCGGGCATCTCTTCCATGGCGATCTCCATGTTCTGCTGGACGTTCCCGAGCCGGATGGCTTCTTCGATCTTGGCTTGCGCTTCTTCCGAGAACGGGTTGGCGTTGAGAGCAATGAGCTACGAATGTGTGGCTCGTTATTGGGATTCTGCATGTAGGTGGTGTCGCTGCATACCTCTTGTTCCTCTTGGTACTTGCGGCTGGCGGCTTCCATGTACTGCTTCATCAAGAGCATGCGCACTTCCTACGCCTCACGTCGTACAAGTCATCACGATGGACGAGGCTCGTCGTACCGAGACGTTGTTGGCCCGGATGGCCGCGGCCATGGGCGCGTTCCCGCTCTCCACCTACATTGTTGAGAGGTCGTGATGTGCAATGGATGCTCGGTACCTGGCGTAGCAACTGCGGATTCAAGCGCATGATCTCAATGAGCAGCTCCGCCGAGCAATTGGGCTAGGAAGCATGAGCATTTGCTGTCGACTGCATGGTGTGTGCACACACCGGAATGTCTTGCAAGGTCATGCCAGCACGGGCTTGGGTCGCAGGTCCCCCAAGACGTGCCGCGCCCATCGCTGGGGCCGGTGGCGGCGCGGCCGTGGCCGGCGTCGTCACCAGGATCAAGTCGTTGTTCTGGATCCCCGCTTGGCCCACCTAGAGTGCACCATCTTGAGCATGTGTACCCTATAATATAGCAAGAGGCTACCGTGTGGTCTGGGTTCACTTGTCGGCCGTTGAGCACCAAGATCTGACGGGCCATGGGCAGGTTGATCTAGTCGCATTGGCACGGTGAGTGCATGAGTGCTGCTTGGCCTCGTACCTCGGCCTCGATGATGGCCTTGAGGTTCTCGATCGGGTCGGCCGCGTCGACCTCGACCTGGAGCACATGCTCTTCGTACGTGACCGTGAGCTGCATGCTGCGCCTTCCGCTCGCAAAATGAAATGATCCAAACGGTTCTGAATTCGAGAATGATACAATCCACGCGGACCAGATCTTTTAATTCGATTTCGCAACGTTAGCTTACAGTGTTTATGCTCGATTTAAATAAAGGTTATTATATTATTGGTCGCGATGCAGTCTCAATTGTATTTTTGAATTTTGGCGACGATGGGTGACGACGAGCCGCAGCGACTCCAGGCGCACGACGGGCTCTTCCTCACGCAGCAAGAGATCCTGCTCCAGAAGCTGTACGATGACATCGCCAAGCTGCACACGTCGGCGGATACGTCGGCGCACAACGAGCCGCTGACCGTGGCCACGCCGCTCGCGCCGGCGACGCCGCATGCGCCAACGAGCGTGAGCCCCGGCGTGCACTCGAACCTCTCGGCCATCGAGCGCGTCAAGGCCGTCATGGCCGCCAAAGCCAAGCAGCAGACGAGCCAGATGAGCAAGGCTGCGCTGAAAACGGCGCCCGTAAAGCGTACGAACCCGCTGGCCGACCTCTTGAAGCCGTCCGCGTCGGGCGCGGCCGCACCTCTGAAGCGGGCACGCATGGCGGCGCCGCCTGCGGCCGAGCCAGGAAACGTCATCAACACGGTCACGGGCGAGATGCGGCTCGGGAACGGCCGCGGCATTCAGCTGCCGCCCGAGAGCTTTCTGCGCACCGACGAGTGGGCGTCGCACCGCGACGAGCCGTTGGCGGTGACGCTGCCCGCAGTCGTCTTCCGCACCAACAACACGCTGGTCGTCAACGGTACGATTCCATCGTCGTCGTGTCGCTTCGTCCTCAACCTCGCGACGACCGACGGCACGATCGTGTGCCATCTGAACCCGCGCAAGATGCGTGGCGGCCAGATCCTCCTCAACAGCTTTGTGGAAGGCCGCTGGGGCACGGCGCACATCGTCCAACGGTGCCCACTCATCTTCGGGAGTCCGACGCCGTTCCGCTTCATGCTACGCATCACGATCACACCTTCCGGCTTTGCGCTCTTTGTCGACGAGGTCTTCGTCGACGAGTTCAAGCACCAGATCCCGCTCCGCGAAGGCGACGACCTCGTGCTCAACGTGCCGACCAAGGACGAGTACGGCAACCCCGAAGTCGTCGTCTTGCACAACGTGTGGTGGGGCCACACGGACATGGCCGCGACGCCCGCCCGTCCGCCGCCGCGGTACTCTCCATGCAGCGGGAACGAAAGCTCATGGAAGCGGTCTCTTGTAGGTACAACATGCCAGGCCCCGACATGCGCATGCCGCACAACAACCAGTTTGACGTGTACGTGGGCAACCTCCCGAGCGAAGCCAACCGGTCGGACCTCGCGCGGCTCTTCGCGGACTTCACGTACGACTACATCCGCATCACGCAGCGCGGCTTTGGCTTCGTCGCGCTCAAGAACGCTGCGGACGTCGACCGCGCAGTGCGCGACCTCGACGGCGTCGTGCTCCCGGGCTTCACCGCGCACCTCAAGATCTCGGCCGCCTTGACGAAACGCACGTAGAGAGAGTCCTTTAACTTAACCATATTCGCTTGGCCTTTACACATCGACGCAGAGACGGCGCGACCCGAAGGCCGCCGCGCGCAGCACCTCGGCCGCACCGCGTTCGGTGACGCGCGGGTTGCTCTGGAGCTGCATCGACGCGAGCGCAGAGG